ATTGGGATCTTGCCTCAGCCTCTCATAGTGCTGGAATTACATGTGTGCATCACCATACTCAGCTGTGAATGTCATTTACCAAGCATTATGTATTGTACAAAATTGTTTTTCCTCTTCCCTCTTTCTTTTCCTTCCTTCCTTCCTTCCTTCCTTCCTTCCTTCCTTCCTTCTTCCCTCCCTCCATCCCTCCCTCCTGTCTGTCTGTCTGTCTGTGCTGGGTATTGAACCCAGGGCCTGACACATGGTAGGCAAGTACTTTATCACTGAGCTATACCCTGTCTTTGTGCTATGCTTTTATATGGATATAGCTAGCAGTGCAGTAGGTTTATTTACACCACTGCCATCACAAATACAAGTGATGCATTGTGTTAAGACTTTACAATGGCTGCAGTGTCACTGAACCATAGGAATTTTTCAGCTCCTCTGTAATCTATGGGACAACTGTTGTAAATAGTCTGTCCTGTGACTATATTTGTTAAATCAAAACTCTACAGATTTTTTGTTTTTGAGACAGGATCTCACTATTAGTTCAGACTGGTGTCATACTCACTATGTAGCCCAGGCAGGCCTCAGACTTGAAGTGATCCTCCTGCATCAGCCTCCTTCGGGCTGGGATTACAGACATTCACTGCTGCACCAGCAACCCTGCAGGTTTTGGTTTGCTAGTATACAGGGAGAGATCACTGACCAAGCTAGGGATTTAAGTTGAGTAGCAGTATGATTTCATTCACTCATGTAGCATAAATTAAAACATGAATAAATACATGCTAAGGAAGTTTTAATTTGTGTTTATAAGCTACTAGTTTGTTGGTTTTAAAATTGTTGTTGATATATTAAAGGATATAAACTGGACCAGGCATGTGGCACACACCTGCAATTCCAGTACTGTGAGAGACTGAGGCAGAAGGATCCCAAGTTCAATACCAGCCTGGGCAGTGTTGTGACCTTGCAAAGCCCTGTCTCAAATAAAGAGTCTGGGGATGTGATTTAATGCAAAGGCCCTGAATTCAATCGCCACTCTCCCCTCCCCACCCCTCAAAAAAAAGAATGGCACGACATGGTAGTGATACCTGTTGTCCCAGCATCCAGGAGGCTGAGGCAGGAGGATTGTGGCAAATTCAAGGCCAGCCTGGGCTACATAGTGGGTTCAGGTCCAGGCAAGAAAATAAACTCCAAACCCATAGAAGGGAAAATAATGAAAAAAATAGTAATAAATTCAAGCAAAAGGGAGCTGGGGATTTAGCTCAGCGGCACAGCACTTGCCTGGCAAGCGCAAGGTCATGAGTTTGATTCCGGGTACCAGGAAAAAAAAAAAAAAAAGAAAGAATGAGTCAAAGAAAAGGAAGACAGCAAGCAGGTGGGACAAGCAGAAGTTACAAAAGAAGATTTGAGCCTAGTATATCAATTTTAAATTAAAAAGTAAGTGTACCAGTTTTATGTACCATAAACTTCATCTGTTTAAAATTGATTCAGGCCAGGGGTAGTGGTGCACTCCTGTAATCCCAGCACTTGGGAGGCTGAGGCAAGAGGATTACTTCAAGTTTGAGGCCAGCCTGGGCTACAAAGTGAGTTCAAGACCAGATTGAACTGCATAGTGAAACCCTGTTGCAAAAAGACAAAAAAAAAATCTTTGATTCAGTGGCTTTTCACATGCATACACAGTTGTGTACCTGTCGTTCTATCTAATTTTAGAGGATTTTTATTAACCCCCCCAAAAGACTTTCTACCTGTTAGCTAGTAATAAAAATTAAATCTTAAATTGGCTTATTTCAGGAAGGCAGAAGTAAAGTATTCTAAGTACTCTAGGAAGTGAAGCAAGTGTCCTATCTGGTTCTGGGAATCAACTGTAAGGCCTCATGCATGTAGGCAAGCACTCTACCGCTGAGCTACACCTCTAGTACTGAAGTCAGGTTTGGTTTTGTTTTTTCTGTACTTGGGACTGAACCTGGGCCCTTTGCATTTAGCTGCATTCCCAGCCCTTTTTTTATTTTTCATTTTTGACACAGGGTCTCACTGAATCACCAAGTTGCTCAAGGTGGGCTTGAATTTGCAGTTCATTTCCCAGAGCGCTGAGATTCTAGGCTTGTGCCCGGTTTGCAAATATTCTTAACCTGAAGTGTCTAGAAATTAAAGATTTTAAGTCTTAATGGGGGGGTGTTTTTTTTTTTGAGATAGGATCTCACTATGTAGTTCAGGTTGGCCTTGAATTCACTATGTAGCCAAGGCTGTCCTCGAACTCACAGCTGTCCTCTTGCCTCAGCCTCCTGAGTGCTGGGATTACAGGTGTGTGCCACCAAGCGTGGCTGGAGAAAGTTATAAAAATCAGTAGAGCTGAGTATATATACATAAATATTCCAGTGGATTGACAGATTTTGTGTCCTAAAGGTTTTTTCCCAGATTTGGCTTACATCAGAACTATACATACAGAATTCCAACAATCTTTCTTTGATAGGCTTTGAAAAGATGATTCTAAAATATATCAAGAAGAGCAAATAAGGCCAGGCATGGTGGCACACGCCTGTAATCCCAGCACTCAGAAGGCTGAGGCAGGAGGATCTTTGTAAGTTCAAGACCAGCCTGGGCTACAAAGTGAGCTCAAGGCCAACCTGAACAACTGCATAGCAAAACCCTGTATCAAAAAAACACTAAAACAACAGCCAAAAAAAGAACAAAGATAAAAGCCCTTCATTCCCTACTTTTTAGTTGTGTGTGTGTGTGTGTGTGTGTGTGTGTGTGTGTGTGTAAGAGAGAGAAAGAGAGAAAGGAGAAGGGGGGCGCTGAGACGCACTGTGTAGCCCAGGCTGGTCTCAAACTTGCGGCAGTCCTCCTGCCTCAGCCTACCAAGTGCTGGGATAACCAGCATGCGTGCCACGATGCCCTGATCCTTGCTTCCCCTTTAGAGAACTCCCACCCTCATCTAGTCCCTCTCCATCATCTGAGACAGGTGAGCTGCAGGAGGCTCACCTAGTATATGTTAGTGAGAACTTGGGACTTTCCAGTGCAGCCTCACTTTTGCTGTCACTTCCACTGGCATCACTCTTAGACCACTTTGTTGGAACCCACTGGGGCAGATACGATGGTAATGAGTGTGCCCGGTTCCTACTGGGCAACCCACTTATCACCACTGGAACCACAATAGGATATGGATTTCATGGTCCAGTCTCCAAACTGAGTTAACCATGCAGCCACCACTGTTGAGCGGTGCAGCTGGATATAAATGTACCTGTTTATGTAAATGTATATTTACAAGAAGGTCTGAGGGAGCCGAGTATGGTGGGCAAGCCTGTAATTCCAGTTCTGAGGGAGATGAGGCAGGAAGAATGCCACAAGTTTGAGGCCATCCTGGGCTACATAGTAAGACCCTGTCTCAAAAAAAAAGACTAGAAGGGGCTGGGGATTTAGCTCATCAGCACAGTGCCTGCCTGGCAAGCGCAACATCGTGAGTTCAATTCCCAGTACTGGAAAAAAAAACAAAAAAAAGAAAAAAGAAAAGAAAAAAAAGACTTGAGGGAAAACAAGTGAAGAATGAATGGAGATGGGGGCTGGGGATTTAGCTCAGCAGCACAGCGCCTGCCTGGCAAGTGCAAGGTCGTGAGTTCGATTCCTGGTACCGGGAAAAAAAAACAAAAACAAAAAAAAAGAATGAATGGAGATGGGTTAGGGGAGAGAAGGTAATGGGGTAGAAGGAATGAAACAGCCACACGACCCATTTGGTTGGCTGCATCGTTTTAACGTCATTTTATTCATAACTGCTCTGCTATTAAAACACTGCAAAGCTTTATTTTTAAGCAGTGAAATATTGTTTTATTGACCTTTGTATACATAAAGCATTCCAATAAAATAAACATAAAACATTACATAAAATAAAGAGAACTATAATGAGTTAATGCTGTTTAGTGCCATTACTTTTTAAGGGGACAGTGTGGCAGTGCAGGCCGGTAGCCCCAGGATTCTGGCTGAGGCAGGAGGGTCACAAGTTTGAGCCTGGGCAAGACCCTCCCTCAAAATAATAAATAGAAAATTCTTAAAGGGCTGGGGATGTACCTCAGTGTGACAATTCCAGGTTCATCCCCAGTACCGGAAAAAAACTAAAAAAAATTTCAATTGTTAGAGGGAGGTATAGTATATATCGGTCTTTACCAGTAATGAATAATACCTTTAGTGCTTAATTATAGTTCAGAAGAATTTCAACTAACATGAGGCTGTTAATCCGATTAGCTGAGGTATTTCATGTATGAGTTAAAATCTGTTAGCCTTGCTTTCCCATCATGCACTCTGGTGTTTGCCCCAGAACCTGATGAATCTGTTTTAATGAAACTTTTGCTTAGTACTGGGGACCACTGAGCTGGATTCCCAGACCTTTTTATTTTTTATTTTGAGACAGGGTCTCAATTATCCAAGCTGGGCTGGAACTTGGAATCCTGCCTCAGCCTTCTGAAGTGCTGCGATTACAGATGTGCACTGCCACTCCTGGCTTTATATATATATTTCTATGCTACGCAGAGAGATCGTATTTCTTACCAGTTTTCTAAAAATTTTTGTCAAAGGATAAGAATTACAGCAATTTAGAGATGTGAACGGTTTTCATTTTGCGATTCTAAAATCAGGCAACACTTCATTCCACAAGAGAATAACTGTTCTGGTGGGCTGAGCAGAAGAGCTTGGTTTCGTAGGCAGAAAAGGGCTGAAAAAGCTGAAACAAAGAACAAAAGGTAGATTGGTTGTTTCAGAGTTGCTCTGCTTGGAGGCCTGGCGCAGGAACAGAACTGTACAAAACTAAAGCAGTGCAGCTTTCTCAGTGTGAGTGGGGCGCTGACTGGTGGTGTCGAAGGACAGAGAGGCAGCAGGGTGGTTTGTTAGGCGGGATGATGATAGAAGAGAGACTTGTCAGGGCTGGGGATTTAGCTCAGCGGCAAAAGTGCCTGCCTGGCAAGCGCAAAGTCGTGAGTTCGGTTCCCGGTACCGGAGAAAAAAAAAAAAAAAAAAAAAACAGAAGAGAGACTTGTCATGGACGGTGTGGTTCCCTGGCAGTACTGTCTCTGGAGGGGAAGGCAGGGTGGGTGCTTGTGTCCCTCTACCAGTTCGTAAAAAACACTGTGTTGACACTGTTAGCACAAGTTGACTTTTGAGCTATGTAGATGTTTTGTAGATTTGAAAAAAAATGATGATTTTATTTATCTCTTCATTGGTCTTTTTGAGACAGAGTCTTGCTGTGTGGTTCAGGATGGCCTTGAGCTCTCTGTGTGACAGGCTTCCGCCACCATGCCCAGCTTAAAAAGTATATTTTTTTGAAAGCAAACAGGAACAATTGTATATACAAGCTCCTAATTGTGTATCAAATTGATTAGTACCAGATGAATTTGAGTAACTTTTGCATAGAATACTCTGGTTGGCTGTGGCAAGTTATATCCTAAGAAGAAAAAGAAATCTTGACCCTGGTGAATTTGTTGGTAGAACCATTTGGGTAATATCATGGGGTAGAATAAAAAAATACGTATTTTCATGTGTTGGAAACCAGGGTTCCCACTGAGGACTGAGAGATTTGCATTCAGAATGGAGAGTGGAGAGAGAATTTTGTGCTGCTTTTACTGTAAATTATACCTTCATTTTGATTCAGTAAATGTGGAGTGGGATGTGAAAATCCAAACTTGGAGATTAGATTACTCGGCGGCAGTGATGGTGAACGTATGGCACCCGTGCCGCGGCCAGCTGTCTGTTATCACTGGAAGCTCTGAAAGAGTCCCCGTCACTGCTGTGTGGAAATTCAAGTGGGTGATGAACCATGGGTGCCGGTGCTGTCAGGCTGTGCAACTGTTTACTCCCCTTCTTAGTATATTCCAATTTCTCTAGGGTTTAGAGTGGACTGGCTGTGTCAGTGTGTGTGGGTTTGGACGGGGCTGCAGTGAAGCAAGCTGACCACTGTGTCTCTCGGTTTGGATTGTATTTTGTAACTCCTCTGAAGAGGCTTTGTCCAGTTTGACTGATGCTTGTGTTTCCTCCCCGCCCCAGACGGAGGCTGATGTAAACCCAAAGGCCTATCCCCTCGCAGATGCGCACCTCACCAAGAAGCTGCTGGACCTCGTTCAGCAGTCGTGCAACTACAAGCAGCTCCGGAAAGGAGCCAACGAGGGTAAGGCAGCCACGGCGGGTGCTGGGGGCATATTGAAGGCGCTGGCCCTTTGTGGGACCCGAAGTGCAGCTCTCCAGTTAGGAAGGAGAGCTGGTGTTTTTTGTTCTCTCTCCCTCCTTTGCTCCCCCACCACCACCCGTCTCTCCCTCCCTCCTTCCCTCTTTCTTTCTCTCCCTCCCTCTCTCCCACTCTCATCTTGCAATGTTGCCTAAGCCTTGAACTCCTGTGCTCAGCAATCTTCCTGCCTCAGCCTTCTGAGCAGCTGGGACTATAGGCCTCTGCCATCATGCCCTGGATATTCTTGACTGATTACTAGGACGGCTTAAGAGCAGTGCTTACTTTGGGATTAGCTGCTAAAGACCAATATACTCAGAATTTTTTAGACCAGCTGTTAATAGTCTGACACTTTACTTTATCTCTTAATATATAAGTGCATTTTATTTATTTTTGTGGACCTTTGAAAGGCAGTTATTGAAAACTTTGTGTATTAACTTCATGTCTTCTCCAGATCCATCAAAAAGGTATTAGTGGTTTGTATCTCTAATATCATTTTTTTTTTTTTGGTTTTTCTCCGGTACCGGGAACCAAACTCTCGACCTTGCGCTTGCCAGGCAGGCGCTTTTAGCCGCTGAGCTAAATCCCCAGCCCCACTGTATCTCTAATATCATGAGTACATAACATTCAAGAATTTTATTTACTTCTCAGAAATATTCCCCTTTTGTGTCTTTTTTAAATAAGCCATTTTTTAGTAGAATAAATACATATGCCATGACATTTCTGCCCAGAGGTAATACAGAATTTTTGTGTATTAGGGGTTGAACCTAGAGGCTACCTCCCAGTCTTTGTGTGTGCCGGCTTTTGTTTTTTGTTTGTTTTTTGAGACAGGCTCTCACTCTGTAGTTCAGGCTGCCTCAAACTCAAGGCGAATCCGATCCTCCTGCCTCAGCGCACCCTGAGTGCTGGGATTACAGGCGGCGTGCACCACTGTATCTAACAGAGTACTCCTCACTTGAAGTAGTTTGCAGTGGGAAAGTTGTTTTGTCTTTAAAGAATCAGGCACTTTGTCCTGTGTTTAGATTTGGGGGGGACCATGAAAATCATTTACGTCTGTTGCTGAAAGAAGACAAAGCAAACCATCTGTGTGTTTGTCGCTGTGCTCTTCAGAGTTCTGCATCCACACCGCAGGATGGTGGGGCCTGGTATAGCCACGGCAGCGCCAGCCCTCCCAGATTCCCTTCTCACTCAGGTCAGCAAGGCTGACTGGGCATGTGTCTTGGTTACTTTTCTCTCGTTGCTGAGACAAAATACTTGACATCCAAAATGAAGGAAGGAAAGGTTTAGCTCACAGATTGTGGAGGTTTCAGTCCATATTTGGCTGGCTCAAAGGCAGAGTGACATGTGGGAGAGGGCAACAGTTCATGGCGGTAGAAAATAGCAAAAGCAACAAGAGCGAAAGGGAGGAATGGCAGCAAGCAGCCTCTTCCTCTCCCTTACATATGCAAACTATCCTCCCTAGGGCAGTGTAGCACTCAAAACCATGAATCAAAACTCTAAAAGCTCACCCCGTGACGGCATGAGGATTTAGGGGGACATGCAGACACAAAGCACAACAGCATGAGTCCTAGCTTCTCGGTGGGCAAGGATTCAGAAGTGGGCCGATCTTCCTCTTGCTGTGCCTTGCACAGGGCTAGGCCCAGGAATGCTGGATCAGCAGGGTCCTTGAGCGGAGATGCTCAGTCTCCGCTTCGGCTCCGAATGTGCTTTTTTGGGTGGGCGGCGGTGTTCTAGTCCTCTGCCCGTTTCAGACTCCTGCTTCCTGTGTGCACTACCTGCTGTGTGCCAGGCACGCATCTCTATGCCAGGATTGCAGTGGTAAACACAACTAAGTCCCTGCCTTGATTTATGCTCCAGTGAAGGAGGGTACAATTTATGTCTGGTGGGAAAGAGTTCGGTAAAGAAAAAAGAAAGTAAGAAGTGGGTGGCTACGGCGGGATCTTTTCAGATGCAATTCAGGTGAGGTGTTCCCAAGGAGCAGATGTTTGGATGGTGAAGCGTGTACTCTGCTGCTTCCTGCTGGCCGGGGCTCAGCAGCTGGGCTGGTAGTGTTACCCAGGCAAGAGGTGATGCTGACGTGCACAGGAAAGAAGCGGTCGGTTGAGGCTGTAGGATTTGAGGAAGAGGTGTTTGACGCCCTTGCCACATCCCAGGTTGCTCTGGGACAGAGCACTGCTTGTGCCTGGGCCTTTGCCCATTTTTCCTGCATCTGTATTCCTTTTCTGGAAAACGGCTTTGTTGCTACATTGCCCCAGCCCCACATCGCCTGTTGGCCTGATGTCCCTGTCTCCACAGCCACCAAGACCCTCAACAGGGGGATCTCAGAGTTCATTGTGATGGCTGCAGACGCGGAGCCCCTAGAGATCATCCTGCACCTCCCGCTGCTGTGTGAAGACAAGAACGTGCCCTACGTGTTCGTGCGCTCCAAGCAGGCGCTGGGGCGGGCCTGTGGGGTCTCCAGGCCAGTCATCGCCTGTTCCGTCACCATCAAAGAAGGCTCTCAGCTAAAGCAGCAGATCCAGTCCATCCAGCAGTCTATCGAACGGCTCTTGGTCTAAGCCTGTGGCCTCTGCCTGGCTCTCCCTGTGACTCCAGCTCCAAAATTATGTATGATATTATCTGTGTTAGTCCATAGTATTTTCAGTAGCTTTGTTATAAAATGTCTAAATCTGGTTTCTGGGATTTTTATTGTTTTTGTCTTACAGGATGGGTTTTCCCATCCTCCTCCTACCCTCCCTCTCTGCCATCCTTTCCCCCTCCCCACTGAGAAGAGAACAAATGCCCAAAACAGAGAAGCAGAGTGGTGGCACCACTTAGAGGCAGGAAGAGCCAGGAGAAACATGAGCCAGGACGGAGCTCTGTTTGCCCTGCTGTGTGCAGGGTCGGCTGGGAGCCAACCCCAGCCACTTAGAGCCCTCAAGTGGCACGCAGAATAGCTGCGTGTGGCACCGTGCTCAAGGAGTTGCCTTTGCTCCCCAGGGAATTCTCTATCTGGGGGGCTGCGTGTGTCTGTGAGGTTACTGGGCTGGTGTCCAGGTGTCCCTTACTCACGTGCCCCTTGGTGCTTCTGACAGTGTGATGTGTTCACACCCCAGCCCCACCACTGCCCCTGGCCCGAGGGAGGCAGAGCAGTGCACCACAGTGATGTGCTGAGGACTCCAGGTGAGTGGGCCAGGGAGCTGGCTGACATGGGTGTTGAGCCAGGAGGGGCACAGGCAGCAGGGTTGCCTGATGCTGGCGTGAAGGGTGTGGGGAGATCATAGAGACCTGGCTGGAAGCCACGGCAGAGATGGCACAACCAGGAAGCGTTTCTCTGTTGAATGAGGATTTACCGCCTCAGAGGCCACTGGCGCCGGCTCTGGGAGCCCGGGCCTCTGTCTCCTGCCACAGTGTGGGTCAGATGTGCTCTTCACTATACGAGGAGAGCCCTAATGTGTCCTCTCTGAGCGTCCTAATAAATCTCTTCATGTTCCATTTTAAAGTGTGGCAGTGCCTGATTCTTAATGGGGATCCAGCTAACATTTGAGTGAAGAAATGTTTAGCCATACTAGAGTGGTTAGAGCTGCTGCTCTCCATGCCCCCGCTTTCTTTCTTGGTACTAGAGATTGAACCCAGGGTTACTCTACCATACAGCGCCTTCCCAGCCCTTTTAAAATTTTTTTTGAGACAAGTTTTGCTAAGTTGTCCCATCGGCTGAGTTGGTAGGGCTACAGGCGCTGCACCTACCTAAAATGTCTTCTCTTATGCAAACTCAGTCATTGGAGTGTTGCTGTGACTCTAGAACAGGCATTCTCATCCTCAACTGATTTTTGTGTTGTAGGGGTTGTCCCATTTATTAAGGGATGTTTAGCAGCATCCTGGGCCTCTGTCCACTAGGTGGCCATTTTCCAGCCCCAACTAAAACACGTCTCTGGACATTGCCAGGTGCTTCCTGAGGACAAAATCGCCCGCAGCTGAGAACCACTGCTGCAAAGTACATACAGGTTTGGTACTGGTGACTGAAGCGTCTGTCCCTACCAGCCTCTTGCACTGAGATTTATCTGAGGGAAAGTTACCGTGAACAAGTGCCTAATAGCTTGAGTTTTCTTCCAGGGTCCAAATAACTGGTTACCATAGTGGTCAAATTAGTGAGGGTATGCTTGGTACCAATATAATGACATTTCCTGAGCAGGGGACCAGCAGACTGCATGTCCTGACCAGCAGTAGGCTTGTGCCTGCAAATAGCCACTGTACTGTAGCCTGGGTAGCAAGATCGGTGACCCCATCTTGAAGGAAGAAGGGAGGAGAAAAAAGACAGGAAAGGTCTCACTGTCTTGCCCAGGCTGGCCTCAGACTCCAGGATGTTAACAGTGCTTCTCCCTCGGCTTCCTGAGTAGCTAGCTAAGTACAGGCCTGTGCCACTGCACCTGGCTGAAATTCCATCTCTAAAAAAAAAAGACAACATAGCTTCTGCCTTCGGTTCTTCAGATCGCTGGCCCTATGGGTAGTCAGTTGCCTTGTTAGGAAGACTGAACCAGCCCAGGGAGAGAGGCCCAGAGGCTTGTAGCATGGGAATGAGCCTATCTCTCATTTGCACCCACAGGGTTTCAGTTAATGGGTAATTTATGACTCTGAGGGCAATGCCACTGAAATAAATTTATTTCATTTCCCAAGAGGAGGCGGCTTGCCATGCCACACAGGGCTGCTGGGCGCGGCCCACGTTTGGGTCAGGAAAAGCAAGAGGAGCCACTCTAGGCCACGTTGTTGGCACTTCCTTGGGAAAGGCAGGCCAAGGCACGTGACAGGTTAGGACTGTTAGTGATTCTGTGGGCCCCCAACTACAGAGGTCTAGTTGCCTGGTACCTGGTCCTGGGGTGACTTAGGATAGAGGGTATGATGGCCTGGTGTGGGAAAGTTAGAGAAGGTAGTGGCCTCCTTGGGAGGCATTCTCACAAGGAAGTTGTTAACCATCTTTAAGAGTGCTAGGGGAGTGCAGTCTATCCCTAGCTCTGTATGTCCTCCCCCAAGATGTCAAAACATAAAATACAGTCTCTGCATGTGGGTCTTTCAGCCTCAAGCTTTCAGCTGACTGCAACCTGGCCGGTATCTTGAATGCACCTCATGATTCAGGTCAACTCTCCAGCCTAAACTGGGTGTAGTGGCACACGCCTGTTGTAACCCCACCACTTAGGTGGCTGAGGCAGGAGTATTGCCTCAAGTTCAACACCAGACTGGGCTACACGGTGAGACCTTGTCTCAAAAACATCTCCCCTATTCTTCATCCACAGAAATGGTGAGAAAATGTTTATGGTTTTAAGCTGGTAGTTTTTGGAATAATTTGTTACACAGCAACTGATCAGTAAAGTACAGAAGGGACTGAAAGGACAGAGAGGTCTTGTCAAGACAGCAGGGCAGGGAAGAGCACTGGGAGTGCTGGCAGGCCCACAAGCTGTTGTGAGGAGCTCCCCGCTGCTCAGAGCGCCTGCAGTGATCCCTGGTAGAACTGGCTCGCATATCCAGAGCAGACGAGGTTACATGGAGGATTACTAAAGAGTACTTCAGCCCAAGCAAGGAAGGCTGGAGAGTCGTCACAGCCCCTGGTTGAGTGTAATGAGTGTGTGTCTTTCCCCGGTATGGATGTGAGGATGGAGTTTCTGGGTAACGAGAGGAAATGGATGACTATTCTCATCATGCCTGAAATAACGACATTCAGCTTCCCTTCACCTGTCCGTTAACTCCCCCGCCACTGCCTGACTGTTCTTCTTGTTTCCGTTCTTTTTTTTTTTTTTTTGGTTTTTCTCCGGTACCAGGAATCGAACTCACGACCTTGCGCTTGCCAGGCAGGCGCTTTTGCCGCTGAGCTAAATCCCCAGCCCCCATGTTTCTGTTCTAATGAGTGATTCCAGTGGAAAAGAAAACGAAGGTAAGAGCCACTGGCCAGTGCTCTTTGGATGGGAGACAACAGTCTACATGGCCGGGCGTGGTAGCACACACTTTAATTCCAGCACTCTGAGTGGCCGAGGCAAGAGGACTGCCAGTTTGAATTTAGGCTGGGCAATTTAGCAAGGCTATGTGTCTCCAAAAAGTGCGATGGCCCTGGATTCAATCCCCAGTACTGAAAACAAGTAACAAAAACTCACTATATAGTACAAAGTTAGGCCTTTATTCACACAGTAGAGTAAGGCACAGCAAAATGGGAAAGCTGCATGGTCTCCATGACAAGAGGTCCCACAAACCTGAAGTCCCTGGCTCCCAGAAACATTTGGGAAGTTGGTGAGCGGAACAGAGGCAGGCAGCCCGGCCTGCTGCGGAAGGCGGAAGGCAGCTGGCTGTGTGCTGCTCAGTCCTTCAGGAAGTGTTGGGTGAGTGCGTCCAGCAGCTCCTGCTTTTTTAGCCCAGCCTTCAGCCCGCACACCCTGCAGGCCTCCTTCAGCATGGGCACGGTGAGCTTCCCCAGTGTGCCCTTGGCAGCATGGGCCTTCAGCTCCTCTTCAGATAACTCCATTTTGGGCCTTTTGCTCCCAGAACCTTCACCATCTGGGGAGAGAGGCCAGGAAGGAATGACTACCAGGAAATGCTACCAGGGACATCCCGGCCCCACAGCCTGGGCCTCCTATGATCTGGCTGCGGTTAAACCATTTTCCATAATGCTGTGACGCTGACCTCAAACTGCTGGGAAAAACAGGTGTCTTGGAAAGACAGCTTCGTTTAAGTATAAAATAAAAAATGTACCATACCTAGGAGGGGGTTACCCACGATGTGAATGCTATCAGGTTACCCAAAACAGTCGCTCACCCTGGGTGAGCAAATCATTCCTTCCTTCTCTTTCAGACACCAAGTAGTCCTTCCTTCTCTCTTTCAAACACCAATGAAAAGGTGGGTATAATGTAATCCTAGCACCCTGGGAGGCCGAGCCAGGAGGATCACAAGTTTGAGCCCAGTTTAAGCAACTTAACAAGACTCTGTCTCAAAAGAAAATTAAAATTTCAGAAAAGCCATCACGTCTCTCTGTGATAAGACAATAAAGACAACTTTTTTTTTTTTGAGACTGGGCTACACAGTTCAGGCTGGCCTGGAACTCACAGCAATCCTGCTTCATTCAGCCTCCTGATATAAAGGCAACTTTGAAAAGAACCCACCACAGTTCCACAGCCAACTCCTTACCTTGCTTTCGCTTGGTGGCCTTTCCCTCAGGATTGTAATCTGGTGGGTAAACAAGGTCCTTAAATTCCTCTACTAGAGAGCCCAGCCTTTTATTCATTGCTTCAACCTTGGGCACTAGAAAGTCAAAGCACAGAAAGTGACCAGGTGAGTCACACATACCCCGGCGTCCTGAGCCATCTACTTCCAGCTCTGCGGGAAGCACAGAGCCCCGAATAATGGGGTGAGGGGGTAGGGGAAAGGGTCTACTAAAGGCACAAAAACACCCAACAGCCCTGCTGTTGATGGCAAACCGATGGCACACGTGCCACAGCTGGCTGATATCACTGAAAGCTCTGAAAGGTTCTTCAACACTCGTCTAGCGTTTCCAAGTACAGTCACCCCTCAGATCATGCATACTGAGTTCAGGGCCTTCTCAAATACAAATTCTTGGATGCTCAAGTCCCTTATTTAAAACAGCACAGTGTTTGACATAACTTATACACCAGCTGAGAGCTTTAAATCATCTCTAGACAATGTGTGCTGCCTAATACAACGGAAATGCCACATGAATATGTAGTTGTTATACTGCCTTAAGAAATAATGACCTCCCAAAAAAGTCTACATGTTTAGTACAGATGCAACTTTTTTTTAGTACTGGAGACTGAACCCAGCCTTTGTGCTGAGTTACATCCCAGCCCTTTTTACTAACACAGGGTCCTGCTAAGTTGCTAAACTACCCAGGCTGAGTTGAACTTTCAATCCTCCTGCCTCAGCCTCCCACTGAAGTAGGATTACAAGTGTTTTACCACACTGAGCTGCAACTTGTTCTGTAATGTTTCTGGCCCACAGTTGGTTCAATCTATGGATGCAGGACCCAAGGATAGATAAGGAGAGCTAACTGTACTTAATATTGCTTAAGGCCTTAAAGGAAGAGATGGGCTGCTCAACTAAGGGGTTTCTCTTCTGCCAGACACAGCTACACAAGCACTGCGGTAACACAATGCTTTTAAAGCTAGCATTACAGAGACCTATGTGGAGGCTGAGCAGGCTGAACTAACTGTTCTGAAATTTTCAGCCTTTGAAGAACTGACTGAATCCAATCTGCTTCCCTGTGGATTACTTACACTTCTGCCACTAAACCAGTGTCCTCTCATGAATGCATGTGAGTCACAATCAAGAAGAGGACCAGCAGCAAGGGAGAGAGCACAGCCTAGAGGCTTCTGTGGGTAGCAGGTGGCTTTTCGTGTGGCAGGGCACAGAATCTGAGGGACTGGGTGCAAGCACAGGGCCGGCCCTGGCCAGGAGCTGCTGGACTCTGAGTTGCTTAGCGCTCAGCACCTGCACACTGGGCAAATCAGGACAGCTGCAGCCCCTGCCTCACAGTTTGGAGGCTGAAGCAAGTGAACACACAGGACAGCAGGGCCCCGCCCACAGCAGGCCTAGCACCTGTATCTAACATTCTCCAGTGTTAGGCATGTGGAGGCCTAGCTTGGAGACAGGGAGTTTAGGAGTCAGGTGTCTCCTCTCCCCCCTGCAGGCCACGCCTGGCAACTAAAGCTGGCCAAGAAAAATCTCTCCAACAGAGATGGTCTGAACAGTGAAGTGCTCAGGAAATGCACACGCACTACTGGCTCAGAGTGAATCAGAAGGCAGGCCTCTGACGAAAAGAACCTCTCAGGGCTAAGTGTGGTAGTGCAAGTCTGGGACCCCAGCACTCAGGCGGCTGAGGCAGGAGGATCACTGCCAGATTACATACTGAGTTCAAGGCCAGCCTAGACTACATAGCAAGACCCTGTCTCAAAAAACAAAAATAAAAAGCAAAAAACAAGAACTTCTCCCCTGAGTGCAGCCTTCTTACAGGTCAGGTCCACTGCTTGCTCAGGCTCCATCAAATCCAGGGCTAAGGCCTCCAGGTTCCGGAAGTGCTGCTGCAGCACGGGGTTCTCAAAGCTGTCACTTCTGTTAAAACAAAGGTAACAACTGGAGTCAACTAAAACAATAAAAAGGCAAACATTTGAAGAAAATGAAATAGTATCAAACCCTGCTGAAATGACACAGGTCCAAGGCCAGCTAAGAAAATCACTCCAAACGAAAGAGCTAGGACCTCATCAGAAGTCTACTTCTCCCTCTCCAATTCTCAATTCCTCACGTGATACTGAGACTCAAGAGTTCATCTCAAAGCAAACCCGCCCACTTGTCCCCACGAGCAGGTGCGGGCAGAGAGAAGTGGAGGAGACAGTGGCTGACAGTGCTAGATGCTTAGTGCTCTCATTTGCCCAGTAAAACACTAAACCAGATTATACTTGAAGGAGAAACATACCCTAAACACAAAAGAATGTGAAAAACTCTACAACGCTACAACCCATTAGCAAAAAAAAACCTAACAAATTGATTTAAAAATAGACTAAGCAGGGCATGGTAGTGAGTATCTGTGATCTTAGCACTCTGGGAGGCTAAGGCAAGAGGACTGAAAGTTCAAACCCAGCCTAGGTAACTTAGCAAGACCCTGTTTCAAAATAAAAAGGGGCTTGGGATTTAGCTCAGTGGGAATGCCCTGTGTTTAATCTGCAGGGGCGGGGGTGGGCTTGACAGATATATCACCAAAGACATACAAATAAAAGTGCAAGAGGCTGGGTGTGGTGACGCACACCTGTAATCCCAGCACTTGGGGAGGCTGAGGCAGGAGGATCCTTGCAAGTTCAAGACCAGCCTGGGCTATAAAGTGAGCTCAGGGCCAGCCTAAACTGTATAGCGAGACCCTGTCTCACAAAGACAATAAATACCCTGTCTCACAAAGTCAATCAATTAATAGATAAATGTGCCAAGAGGTATATGGGAAGAAGCTCCATGTCACTGTCACCAGGGAAATGCAAATCAAAACCACAGTGAGAGGGGCAGGGATATAGCTCAGCGACGCAGCACCTGCCTGGCAAGCACGAGGTCCTGAGTTTGATTCCCAGTAACCTGCACGCCCCCCAAAAACAACCCACAGTGACAATATCTTCACATCTTATTAGGACCGTTATGATCCAAAACCAGCAGACAGACACAGATACACACACACAAGGCAAAAAACAAGCATAAAGAAAATGGAACGTTTTTATACTTTTGAAGGGAACCCAAAATGATGCAGCCACTAGAAAAAGCTGTATGGCTTTGGACCGACGACTCACTCCCGGCCTCGGGGTTTCCCGGAAGGAGGGCTTCTGGCGCACAGGGAGCTGCGGGTGGGGAGCGCCAGCCTTCTGGCTGGCTAGCTTCCTGCCTGCTGGTTCCCGGAGGGTGGGCCATGCGGCGGCGAGCGCTATTGCGCGCTGGCCCTTAGGCCGGCCGCCGCCGCCGCCGCTCAATTGAGATCTATCATGACACAGAGAAACAGTGACACAATTGGCCCGCCATGCACCGACAGCAGTTGCCCACCCACGGATGCGTGTGAATCATTGAAACTTTGAACAACCCCTGGGAATATATGCCATACAACGGGCCACTCTTGCTCCTGCCATTGGGAACCAGAAAGGTCCAGAGTCAGCAGAGGAGCAGCTGCTGAACAAGGACTCAGAGAACATGAGAATGCAGACCAAGCCCACGGAGTCAGAGGTCCTGTGGACTGGGGTCACCAGAGCCGCTCGGAAGCTGTAAACCAGGAGGACCTTGCACAATACTTGCAGAGACTCATTGGAAGCCATTCTTCCCCTGACAGTACAGGCTGTGGTGGAGCTCCGGAGAAGTCTGCAGCAGGATTCCTGCTGACTGTGCTCACAGTTGGGGAGAGGACACTAACTGGTTGTGGGGTCCCAAAGCAATGGGAAGCTGGAGAGAAAAAGCTACAAAGAATGGCTTTCACCCCAGATAGCTCACTTGAGATGTTAGTAAGAATTGCCTCCTCAGTACTCTATAGCCATGATGAGGAGGAGGCCAAGGAGAGAAAACAAAGAGACCGAGAAAAAGCAGCTGCTTTTGCTGCACCACTAAGAGAAACAGATCCCAGGTCTGATTCCCGGGGCTCCAAGAAGAACTCGACAACTGCATTCATCTGCTACCACTGTTAAAAGCCAGGACACCTCAAAAGGAACTGCCCTAAGAGGCCCCATGGGCCATGCCCTGGATGCAAAGGAGACCACTGGAGATCGGTCTGCCCTCTGAGGTGGAGGCCCCAGAGCTCAGACCCATGCTACCAGTTAGTCCAACAGGAATGAGAGGGCTTGGGGCATGGTCTGCCTTCTCCCTCTGGCCGGACCGTCATCTCCATCAAGGAGCCCTGGGTAATCATGACTATGGAGGAACAAGAAAACAGCCTGTTGCTAGACACAGGTGCAAGTCTCTCGGTCCTTCTTTTCAATCCTGGCCTTCCTTCTAGCCATCATACCTCAGTGAAAGGAGTCACTGGTGAGGAGGTAATATGCTATTTTTGACAACCCTTAGGCTGTAACTACTTATTAGATCCTTCTTGCATATCTCTGTCTTCCTGAGAAACCACTTTGAAGATACCACCACATATTACAGCAGCCATTGACATTTTCCTACTAATCTATCCATAACTGTGTAAAGTTTGTAATGTTCCTATCCTATTTCATAAATGGATGTCTGTTTATTATTATGTGTTTCCTACAACAACCATTGAGAATAGTTAATGATTTTTCAATAGGTCACTCATGTATAGCTCTATTTATTTTCCTTAGAAGCCACTTTGAAGATATCAAAGTATAGTACAACTCTTGATAATCTCCTACCTCTTTTGTCTCTAACTCACTATTATTTGTCTATTTGTTTTCCTGAGAAACTATTTTGTAGACAATAATATGTAAAAAGATAACCATTGATAATTTCCTACCATTTTGTCTGTAATTTGCTAAGTCCCCCCTATTATTATGTTATCCTTGTTTTATTCTTTAAAATAAAAAAAATTAAAAAAAAAAAAAAAAGAAAAAGCTGTATGGGAAACAGGGAGGTGACGGTCCGCACCTATAATCCTAGCTACTTGGGAGGCTCACGGGAGGATCTCAACTTGGAGGATAGCCTGAGTTACACAGTGAGACCATTATTTCAAAAAAAGAGAGGAAAGATTCAAAAAGAAGTAGGTTAAAAAAAAAAAATCTAAACGTCACTATTTAAATTTAAAATACCACTATTCACTTGCAAAGAAATTGAAATATCAAAGAGGTACTAGTACCCCGCCATCTCCACTGCAGGGCTACTTACGAAGCCCAACCATCTAAACGCCCTTCCACTCATCTGCCAAAGAAAATGTGACATACCTGGGCACAACGGCACAAGCCCATAATCCCAGCTACTTGGGAGGCTGGGGCAGGAGGATACAGCCCAGGCAACATACCAAGACGCTTTCTCCAAATGACATTTCAGGAGAATCACAAGTTCAAGCACAGTTGACAATTTCGCAAGATCCTGCTGGGCGTGGTGGCACACACCTGTAGTCCCAGTGCTCTGGAGGCTGAGGCAGGAGGAGCACTGCGAGTTTGAGGCCAACACGGGCTACAGAGTGAGTCCAGGCCAGGCTGAACTACATAGCAAGACCCTGTCTCAAAAACAAAGAACCTCGGATGTAGCTCACTACCAAGGAAATGGGTTTGGTCCCCAGTACTGGAAAGGGAAAAAAGGAGGTGGAATCCTACAATATGCAACAACCTGGATGAATCCTGAGGATATTAAACTAAGCGAAATGAACCAGGCACAGGACAGAACACACATGTCACTTTATGAGAATGTGAAATAGTCAAGCTCAGGGAAGCAAAGGTAAGAAACCCAGCTACCAGGGCAGGGATACAGCTCAGTAGCATAAGCGCCTGCCTGGCAAGCACAAGGTCCTGAGTTTAATTTCTGGTACAAAAAAAAAGAAACCTGGCTACCAGAGATGGAGGCAAGGGGAGTCACTGGCCAATGGGTATAGTTTCACTTGTGCAAGATGACTAAGTTCTAGCGATGTCCACAACATTGAGTTAGCAGTACTGTAACTGAGCTGGGCATGGTGGCTCAGGCCTGTAATCTCAGCACCTGGGAAGCCGAGCCAGTAGGACTGCTGTCAGTGCAAGGGCAGCCAAGGCTACATAGTGAGTTCAAGGCCAGCCTGCCACAGTGAGACCGTGTCTCAAAACATCCCCTCCCGAGAAAAAACAAAAAAACAACCACCCTAGGGATGGAGCTCAGTTGAAGGATGTGAGTTCAATACCCAGTATCACTAAAAAAAAAGGATGTAAAAACAATTTACGTCTGTTATCACATCATACAGGCTCCATGGCCTATTACTGTGTACGTGGGAGGAGATGCTGTGAATTATATAATCGCTCCTTTTAAGCCTGCAACAATTTTGTTTCCATTTACTTACTTTCAGCCACTATGTAACAACGGGTATAATCAAGGAGGAAGCCAACTAAGAATTTTCTTTTTATTGCTACTTGTTTGGAATTGTTCAAGCAACAATTTGACTCTGTGTGTGCCTGTTACTGGAGACTGAACCAGGGCCTTTGCAGTGAGCTACTACATCCCCAGCCCTTTTTTAGTTTTGAGACATGGTCTTGCTAAATTGCTCAGTTGCTCAGGCTAGGCTGGAACCCTAGATCCTCTTGCCTCATCCTCCCAAAGTACTCAGAGGACAGGTGTGGACCACTATACCAACTACTAATGTGACTAAATCTACCAGTACAGTCCTAGAATCTTCACTCTGACCACAGCTTCCATTCTCTGTTTTGTTTTGTTTTTGTCTTTTTGAGACAGGGTCTCGCTATGCAGTTCAGGCTGGCCTTGAGCTCACTTTGTAGCCCAGGCTGGTCTCGAACTCACAACAATCCTCCTGCCTCTGCCTCCTGAGTGCTGGGATTACAGGCGTGCGCCACCATGCTCGGCCTCTGCAGCTTTTTAAAAGCTCTCAACCGGAAGTAATACTGTACCAGTTAAGTGAAAAGAATACAGTCACAGTCCCTCAGTCTAGGCCTACCTGAGTTTCTAACAAGACCCAACGCAGGAGGCCGCTCCAGAAAAAGGCCGGGACCCATGCTGTGCTCACCTGTATTTGAAGCGCAGCTTCTGAACAATGGCTTTCATCTTGTCTATCTGTTCTGGGTTGGCCATGACCTTTTCAGTGACAGGCACATTTCGTTTATCATCCGCATAGGGTAGGAAGACAAGCTGGAAGCCTGAGAAAGGAAATTGAAACCGCTTTTCTCCTTTTTTCCTAGGGAGAGGTGCAGTACTGGGGATTGAACTCTCAGCCTCTGTACTAAGCAATACCCCACACCCCCTGCAGCCCTTTTCATAGTTTCAGACAGCATCTCAGTTATTAAGTTGCTCAGACTGGACTTGAACTTTCAGTCCTCCTGAGTGCTGGGATTATAGGCCTGCACCACCTCATTCGGCTCCCATTTCTTCACCAGCTCTCTCCTACCATCAGCAGGCAGGGAGCCCTTCCTGAATATTTGCTGTTGCTCTCCACACTGCCCCAACAGGGACCTTTCCCTGGGAATGGCAGCTGGTTCTGGCCTCCTGTGGTTCTTTTGGATGTCGAGGACAGAACCCGGGGCCTCATGCATACTAAGAACTGCTCTGCTACCAAGCTACATGCCAACCTTCTCCAGTGTTTCTGAGACACCCAGAGCCAGACAGAGGAGCCCGTCCCCAGGGCCTAGTTCAGCTGCTCTGAGCTTCCACGTCTCCTCCTCCTCTTCTACCCTCCAGCACATGTCAGGAGGGAAGAGGGAAGGGGCTCATTAGACTAATCTTGGTACAGGTCAGCTGCTTCAGCAAGGACTGACAAATCCAGATGCTGCAACCAGCTGCTGCTGCCAGGTGATGCTGAGGGTACAGGGCAAGCAGGAAGGGGCCAGCCCGAGCTCCCCTCTGTGCTGACCTCCACCTCGCACCTGCTGTGCACACAGCCTGTCCCAGACTTGCCTCTGCTTGGACAGTCTCAGCCTCAGGAGCACGAAGCATGACGACCCGGGATGAACACATGAGACAGTCAAAGGCTGACTCTGTACGGGGAGGTTTGTTAGCATGGCTAAAGAAGAAAGGCGGCCACCTGGCAAGTACTGTGTGCTAGACACCGTACCTTACTCCTTTTAGGAGTTCTGGTTTTGGGGATGGAACCCAGGGCCTTGCACATTGCAGGCAAACACTCCATCACTGAGCTGCACCCCAGTCTGGCACTCGCACATTATTAACTTACACACACGTTATTAACTTATCTCAAAGTAAAACAACCCTGAAGGAAAGGTGTTCCAGAATTCCCATCTCGGTAAAGAATATAAATAAAAAGGTAAAATGCCCAAGCTGGTGAACTAGCGGCAGAGGGGTCTGAAACAGAGGAAAGTGAGCCTTCAGACACAAGCACAAGACAAAGTCAAGTCTGACTTCAAAGTTCATGTTCTTTCCACTAAACTCTTACTCCTTGACATACACAGGGATAAACCAAATATTAAGCATTACAAGGGGTGCCAAGCGATGGCTTTCAGTCAAGCAAGGTGTGGGATTAAGGCCCCAGAAATGTGTGTCAGTCCCTCTGAGATAGGGCTGCAGACCTGCCACATATGGCTGGGCAGCATGTGCACTGTAGAACCATCTGTGGTGGCCTCTGCTGACTACATTACCTCACCTAGGAACCTTAAAAATACCTATTTCCCCATTCTTATTCCCACTGAGTATAGCTCAGCAGGTTTGAGTTAGGATCCCAAAGCACGAACAAGCTCTGGGACACTTAAATCCTTCTGCCACGTACCTGGAGGAGTCACCTGAATTTTCTGATCATCCAACTCCTCTTCCTGTGGCACCAAAGCCACAAAATAAGGGGGCACGCTCTTGCGGGGTGTGTACCTGCACACAGCTATGACCTCCTTCTCCAGACACTTGATGAGCAGGGCACTGAACAGGGTTGAGCTCCCTGGAAAACAAAAGTCCCAGTGGCCTGCACCCCAGTGTCCTTTCTTCCTCTTCGCCATGGTACAGGCCCACAAATTCCTCCCGTGCTCTTTCCTTCACAGTCCCTCCTGGATTTTCACAACACATGTCAGTAATGTAGAGGGTGCTGAAGAAATAAATCTCTTTGTTTGGTCTCACATTTCCAAAATTTGAGCACGAAACACTTCCAAAATGCCACACTAACATCCCCATGCAGCACCCAAGTGGCACCCACTCTGGGAGCGGGTGTGGGTGAACTGTCCTGGGCTAGAGTCCTTCACCTCCCGCGGTCTCTGCCACTTACCATTCACCAGGGACTCCTCAGGGTACACGAACAGGGAGGGCCTCAGGTAGTGGTGCTTCTTCAGCAGAGCCAAGGGCTTGAAGCCGATGAGGACCAAACCTGGCTCATCAAACCGCTTCAGCTGCTCAGTTTCCTCTTTCTCTAGCACAATCTTCCGATTCCCGTAGATCTACAGGTAGGGAACACGAGGGCCTCAGTGAGGGTACTCGGAGATGTAAGGCAGTAGCCACACAACACTCGCAAGAAAAAAGTCAGCTCTCTTTAAGGAACAAGAAGATGCGCACCAGAGACATCGTTTTCTGGCAACAGGGAACCTACTGAGTGACTTCCAGATACGTTACACTGGTCACCTAATTAATCCTCTCTCCTCACCTTCTCTCGCTCTCGTTCTTTGTAGTACTGGGGATTAAACCCAGGGCCTTGGGCATGCCAGGCAAGTGCTCCACCACAGAGTGACATCCCCAGCTCTTTTTTTCACTTTGAGACAGGGTGGCACTAAGTTGCCCAAGCAGGACTCAAACTGACAATCCTCTTGCCTCGATCTCCTGAGTACCTGGGATTGTAGGCACACACCACCACAAATGACCTAATTTATCTTCAGTAGCAATCCAAGGAGGTAGATGTTAAAACTGTCTCACAGGGCCTAGGGATATAGGTCAGTAGCAGAGCCCTTGCCCAGCATGCACAAACAAGAGGCCCTGGGTTTGATTCCCAACACTGCAAATAAACAAAAAAACAAACTATTTAACAGATGAGCAGCTGGGTGCACACTTGTAATCCCAGCACCAAACTCTGTTTGCATTTTGACCCCAAATGTGTTATGAACAACAGAGCCTCCAAAGTTTTTTCAGGCATCAAAAGGAACTCAGTGCCTAGAACTCCTGCCTCTGAATAAACCAACAGAAAAAACTGGCCATTTCCAAAATGGAAAAGGAAATCTCATCTCTTCTTCAAAAAGCAGGACACGGGGCTGGGGATATAGCTCAGTGGCACAAGCGCCTGCTTGGCAA